CTTTTATCATTGAGATTACAGTAGCTGGAGTATTCCTATAGTGATGCACATAAAAGCAGAATAACGGAGGTGGAGAAACTCCCCTGGCTACAAATCCTAAAAATCAAACATTTGTGATCATACACAAAATAGAACAATAGTTGTTTAAATTGTGGGCTTTAGTGAGCTGGACAGAGTCACTGCTGCATTTTTACTTTTCTACTTAATGATCAGGTATATACAGGCACGGACGACTACCCATTTTTTAAAGTGATCAATATCAGTAAACTAAAATTAGCCAACTGATTATGTCTCATGGCGAAGTTTTTGTTAAAACTACAAAAATGCTAAATTGAAATGCAATGTTTACCGTTTTATAAATGTATGTCTACTTGACTTTGAAGGCCAGACAGGCAGGTGGGTGGAATAAAAGGTTTGAGTCATCACAGCTTGTGTTATTAATCCTCTTGTCTGCTAAGACCTTTCCCCACACTTTGACACAGTCTGTTATTTTCATAAAGTTGTAGATTTCTTTAAACCAACCTATGAATAATTTCTAGAGCATCCCAAGTTGAATTCTGTATTCAAATGTCTCATACCTCAACCAAGTTTCCAATTGAATCAAGACAAAGAATACTTCACTGGGCCACATTACTTCTGCTGAAATGGAAGTTTAAGTTCAAGGTAGTCCTGCTCATTCCAGAAATTTGATTCAAATGACCGGACACTTTAAAGTTAAACAGATTAAGAGTCAAACAATTAAACCTTAGGCAATTCAATCCAAATCAACTTAATTAAAACTAAATGTTTACCTATACAATATTACAATTTTAATTTGACCCAACTACCTTATTGAACAAGGTTACTTCAACATAATAAGCTTAAAAAAGGTAATTTAACTAAAATAAAATTGAGATAATTTATTTCAACATAAAAATTCAAAGACAGCTCATTTGAAGTTGAACCAAGCAGGTTTAAACAGCTATTAAAATACACAAAATCAGACCGAGTATGACTTATCAAGATAATTTAACGTTTATACTTTTGTTTCGCCTTAAAACTACCCAGTCTCCTTGTAGAAAAGAGACGCTGAAGAGTGGATTACCTGTAGTTCCGATTTCCATTCATGAGGTCCCTGCCCGGTTCACTTCCCGGATCACAGATGTCAAATGTCCGATCCTCCTCCGTCAACTCCCGTGTCTCTTCGGGCAGCACAGCGCCGCTCTGCCTCCGTCCAGAGACAGGCTGTCCTAGTCTCAGATGTTCCTCCCTCCTCCCGTCCTGTCAAAGGGACTCGTTTCCCCGGCCGAGGGATTCTCACGTCTCCGTAAACCACCGTTTGCACAACGTCAATGGCTGAAAACGAGTTTTGGTGCCACGGCGAAAGCTACTGGCTGCTATGACAGTAAAACCCTGCTAAAGTTAGCTTAGCTAGCCAGGCTTTGAAAAGTGTCTGGAACCGACGAGAGGAGCTGTCAGGAGATCATCACAGCGGGGTCACGGAGTCCAAATGAATCCCTACCGATAGTGGGCCATCAGTAGAAACAACATTAATACTTTAACTCCGGGAAAAGCGAGCGTCGGAGAAGCTAAAGTAATTAGCTAGCAGGCTAGCTCGGCTGATGGGACTAATGACAGACGGTGGCTACTTTTATCGCGTCAAAAAAATAAACGGCTATTAAAACGGGCTTCTTTCTTAGGCACAGTCTTCCATCGACGTCGTTGTCGGTAAATTGTATTCAGGTGCCGACACGAAGCTGTCAACCCCGGGTTATGTCCGACAAGAGTCAAGATTTCCAGGCTAGTTGACAGAACAACTCTGCAGAGCTTCGGTAAGCCAGCTAAATATGGTGAAGTTGCCTTTCAGTACACCGACAGGAAGAGGCGGGGCCTGCCACCTGACGTCACAACAATTAACTCCGCCCTTAGCCATCCTACCTTTACGAATAAATCAGCAGCTGATAATTAAAATACATTATTAGGATAAATACAAGGCTGAAACTTGCATGTCATTTAAAGGTCCTTACTGCAAAATATAAAAAGCATTAAAAAAAAAAAAAAGATTATACTGAACTACGATGTCAAACATTGCAGTTGTTACTCCAGTAGTTTTCACAGATATAAACGCGGGTCTGCACTCTGTGTAAACAAAGCACCTGGCTGAATTTGAAAGATCGAGTCACACGATTGACCTTCATTGATTAAGTCACTGAACAAATTAAGGTAAAATTGAACAAGCGTCAAATCTCGGAAAAGTTTCAGGTGAAAAAAGTGGTAAATGAAAACCTGCTACTAAACAAGCAAGACAACTGAAGAATAAATATGTGGGATTAAGCAATGTGGCAGAGTGCCATAAACAGTTTGGCATTCAAACATGCAGATTTTGCCAAACTTCTGCTAAGCTGGTACGTGTGACCAATTTTCAATGACTTCGGCTGTTTTCGTAGGTAAACACACATGACAGTTGGTATCTAGTCACACATTTTGCTTAATACATTTTGAGTTAAGGACACATTACCCATCAGTAAAAGAAAAAAAAAAGTGCAAATTAAGACTAGAGCCTGGATTGTATTACTATTGTTTGGTTCAATCTTCACAAATTTGCAATAAGTACCTTTAAGTAGTTTAACACTTTAAAGATTTTCCTATGATCAAATAAAGGCTTTTCAGAGGAAAGATTATAAAACAGCACCACATGAAACAAACAAGTCAGAAACCTACAAGTTATAAAAAACAATTTTATTTTTATTAAAAAATAACCCTCCCCAACAGAGTTCCAATACTATCACACACAGAACCAAAGTAATAAGCTTCAATGTCCTTTCGTTCATATCTATTGGGAAGTGCTATGCCAAGGACTGTTATTGATCAGTGGCTTTGATATTGCTTAGTCAGACCGCGAGGCTGTGGGGAGAGGAGTGGACTCTCCTGTGTCCACGATACATTTCCAGGGTGACGGCATTTTCAGTGCCCCCCTTTGCAAGGTGCTTTTGTGACTTCAGTAAGTGAAAAACTGCATCTGGTTTTAGTGGTGCTGAGAAGTACCCCAGTCTTGTATTTAAGTATAGAATGCAGAGTAAAACACTGGTCTCAACCGTGAAAGGCCCAGCATGTGTTGGGCCAAAATATACAACATGTAAATATGATATATTCATATATACAAATCACCTTGGACACGATGGAGGATCAGTAAACCGGTGTACAAAGGCATTTGGATTATGCAAGTTCATAAATATGATTTTAAAATCAAACTCGTCTGATTTCTTTTTTAAATCCCTTTCAGCTTTAAGGGGTTTCGACCATCAGACGAGACTTGAGGCGCATTAAGGGCAGCTGCGGTGGAATTTTGAGACCGTCTCCACATTGCCCTCTTGAGGATACACTCTGACAATAGTCACAATATTTATAATGACAAAAACTATCAGTCTCAATCACCAGTACACAATCGAGGCAAAACAATTGACAGGCAGTGGTGAGCACGAGGCTCCTACCTCTAAGAAAACCAAAGTAAGGTGGCTCAGAATATCCAGTCATTTAAAATAATAATTACATGCATTTTTTATATATAAATCCAGAAAGTGAATTGATGAAAAGGCAGGACTTATTCAATAGCGAGACCCTTCCTGTCCAATGATCAATCCCCCATCTGTGACGCCCATGCACACAGAGCACCAACAGGGATTGGCTAACACAGACTAGAGGATTGGGACAGAGGGTGCAGAATGTGTGTGAAAACAAATAAATACAGACAGTTGTGGAAAGGCTAATGAGCGATAGTTTGGTCTGAAGAGAAATAAGGCAAGTGCATGACTTCGTTTTTCACTACATGCTAAAATGGGAAACGAAGAGGATGCGTATGTGTGCTTTTATTATCCAGGCTATGAGCAATGAATGCCTGCAAAAAAATAAAAAAAGAGCTATGGATGAAAAAACAGGACTGGTGGAAGGTAGGTGTGTACAGGCATGCAAAGCATTTTGTGAATGGAAGTGTTGCATGCACTGAGTGGAATCATCTCTACCGACACAAGTAGGAATGTACAGATTGATCGCAGCAAGGTCAGTGGCTGAACGGAAGTTCAGCCTTGCAGCACTTGAGTGATCACGAACGCTACGTTTGCATGTTGTCAAATCTACAAGATAGTGTTGCCTATTGTTTATGAAAGCAATGGAAGTGTGACTGCAAAACTCAAAAGTAGTTTGGTACAAGTTTTCAAAAAGAAGTTCATAATTCTGAAGTAAAAAAAAAACAATAAGTAAACAAAAAGTGCCTCAATTCTTTAAAGAGCAGTGAGTACAGAAATAATCTTCCTGCTTAAGTGCCCCTTTTTAGATGTTGGCATCACTTTTGGCTGGTTAATAATGCTGGTTTAGGTGCATGGGGTGCAAGTATATTTGATACACTCTATGCAAATGGTCCCTCTACTGGTATGCTAGGCTTGCCTCTATAGGCTAAAACTAGGGACTGGCCAACAAGGACAGAGTACAGCAGCACTTCTCTCCTGCGTCTATGTAGCTACACCTCATTCTGTCTGCTAATAAAAAGACCAGATGATAACCCCACTTGACTAAAAGTCTTCATGTGCAGGACTGGTGGCACCTACATGCTAACACTAAGTGCTAATGTACCATACCTCAGACTCCTCAAGGCTGCATTAAAAAATAACATCATTTCAAAACATTAAAAACATGAATGTCATTCATGACGATGTAAAAAAAGAAAAGAAATGTCATACATGTAAGTGTGCGTGCTCAGTACCACCCCTCTGGAGGACCCCGATGCTAAGGAGCTTGGAACACTGGCATCCGGCTTTCGGGTGGATAAAGAGGCAGCATTGTGGTGGCAGTTAAAAAGGTTTTAGGACTTTTTTCCTCCCTTTTCTAATGCCTTTTTTTCCTCCCATTTGTATTGCATACTTACTTGGATAGGAGTGTGAAGGTAGCATACAAAACAATTACATAATAATGTCCACATTTAAAAACTATTCAACATAAAAAACAACTGTCCTGATAACGTTAAAAAAAGTACAATAAAAAAAAACCTATTTGAGTGCATGAAGCTGCATTCTGGCTGTGTTGACAGGAGAGGAGTGTTGTGTTTCATGGATCTCTATGACAAACTGGCACGTCTGTGGACGATGTGTAGTGGGCAATTGTTGGGAATAAGGGATGGGGATGAGGTGGGAGTGGGCTTTCTGCCCACTCAGGTAGAAATGAGGTGGGGGGGAACGATGGCGCTGATGGCTGGTGACGCTCAGGCGAAGTACATGGTCCTCAGAGTGTCGTGATGGATCTGAACAGCTTTCGCCAACGCCTGGGGGTCCCGGCCGTTACTCTGACCAGATACGTGGCTACCCTCTCCACTGCAAGGACAATAGAAGAATACCTTAAGCACAAACCAGTTAGCAGTTTATTAAAACAACAAAAAAATGCAGATAATGTGTCCATGTTGCAATCGAATGCCGTTTTAAATATGTTGCTTCTTCTAAAAAACACATAAGAAAATATTGCACAATCTATAAACTGAATTATGTTTTTAGTAAAACCTACCTGTCATGTTCTTTGTCTACCAGATGATAGCGGGCTCGGAAGGCCACGAGACGAGCGTAGTAAGCTGGTGCAGGGATCGAAACTGAGCGGGTACAGCGAACGTACGTGTGGCACAACTGGTAGGTTAAAATCTGCAACTCATCAGCTGTGAAGCGATTGTCGTCCCACAAGACGTAGTAATGAGATGGCCGGCTGGTACCCTAGAGCCAGAGCGGAGGGAGCAATAAAAAAATGAAATAAAATGTTTCCGGATGCAAACAAATATCAGGTAATTTTATGCGAGATGAAAATGACTGAATATTAGGAACATGATTCACTGAACTCTAAAAATGTCACTGTCAGCGTTTCTGTTAGTCATACCTGTATGCCTGCATGACTGCAAAGGTAGAAGTCGAACTCAAATGGATGAGTGATGCTGGTGTCCACCGTAGTCCCTGCAGGTATGTTCCCACTCTTCCCAATCTTTCAAAGAAAACAATACTTATCCAATAGCCTAAAACAACTAAATATACATGTATTTAAAAAGAAAAAACTGTAAGCTCACCCTCTCAGACTTGTCAGCGCAGAAGAGGCGTGTGTGGTGGCGTTTCTGTACCACAATGTAAGTGATACCAGGCTGATAATCTTTTTCCAGCTTTATGCATGCGTCTCTGATGGCCAGGAGCTCATAGTGGAGAATCTACACAGAAAAGGTTTTAATTAAGGCCGTGTTTACACGACAACGAACCAATGAAAACGAAAAAAAAAAAATCCCCATTTCTATTAACACATTTACATGAAAACGTTCTAATTACAATCTCTGTTTACACAGCAACGGTAGACTTGGGAAAGGTGTAATTCCCTCACAACGCCACTAGTTGATGGTATGTTCTTTGAAACTAAGTGCGCATACATAAAAAATAAAAAATAAATAAAAAACATTCTACCTGAAAGCTGCTACAATGGTCGAGATGGCAGAGAATAAAATATTTCTATGGACAGACGATGAAGTTCAACTGTTGCTTAGGGGGACTTTGAATTATAAAACCGTTACATCCATTAAGCAACAGAGTGGAGCTTTATGAGCTCCGTCTTCGATTTAAGTAAAGAGGTATAAAATGAGTACTGTGTTGGACAGCTGTAGTTAGATTTATGAGTCAGAAGCACAAACAATACCCTGGTATCTGCCATTGTCAATAGTTTCTTCTTCTGTGGATTGTAGGAAGTCGTTATGTTTCGCGTCATACTGCGCATGAGTCAGGGTTTCCCTGACAGAGAAGATATATTTTTGTTTGTTTACACAACAACTGACACCTGGGCGTTTGTGAACCATTGTACTCTGGAACCCGTTCTCAAATTGTGCCGTTGTCAGAGAAAACATTAGCTATTTTCATGTAAATGAACAGTACAAACGCAACAAAACTCTTCCATTTTCACCAGAACTGTTTTCGCGTAAACAGGACCAAAGGCTCAAGATCAGAAAAACACTGAAACACAATTCATTATCGGTACAGAAACTCTTTATAGGAAATTCTGCACACTTTATTCTTCATACCTGTGGCAACTGTCCCTCAGGAACACCATCTCTGTAGAAAATAATCCTGGTGGGCTTAAAGCGGGTCGACTTGTAGAACTGAATTAGCAGTTCACGCACCATGTAAGATAAATCTTCGATGATTTCCTGCCTGGGTCTCTGGACGCGTACTGTGGCACAGTATCTGCTGGGATGGGCATCCATACTGCCTACCACCTGGAAGAACAGGTGTGAAGACAACTGAATATGACACTCATGAAGAAGTCATCTCTTTGTATAAACTTTAAAATAGAAAAACATGCAAAGAAAGTAGTTGACATAATTTCACATAATGTGCTTCAGTCATAATAACCTCCTTTAATGAGACATTTTTCTTTATCTCCTTGGTTTGTCTGAACTAGAGCCAATCTTAAAGGCTGCATCTGAAACGTGTGAGGCTCAACATTAAAAATACATTTTTCTTCTGTCAAAAATGTTACAATCACCTTTTTCAGCAGTTGTCATCCTAAGCCGGATGATGCAAACATTATCCACTCCACTCTCTCATCCTCTCTCCGTCTGACTCAATCGTTTATCACGACTGCTAGGCAACAACGCATCCAACCACAGCTGAGCTGAGGTCAAGCGCAGACGAGCGTCATTTCCTTTTTGAATGCGAGTCAGTTGATGAGCCATTTGTTTCACTATATCCTCAAACAACTCCACCCTTATATCCCTTTCGTCAGCCTCAGTTGTAAATTGAAGGAAAAACAAAAGCCAAACTGCCTGTAGTCATTCTTCAAGGTGTGGATTTAAAAAAGAGAGAACACGTCTCTGCGTTTACTGGGTGTTCATTACGTTGGAATAAAAAAAAAAAAAACTGGTTAAAAATATTTTTCAACCGGAACTATTATGTTACACTGCACATTATAAATATCTTAGAATGGCTCCAGTGTCTTAAAATTATGCATTAGAAGAACAGCAGTTTATAATAATATTTAAATTATTCTCTTTTAAATTGGAATAAACTATTACATTTTTTAAATGAGATACATTTATTGAAATGCCTATCCTAAATTATCACAAACAAAACTAAGACTACTCATTAAACAGACGAGCTGAATGTGAAATAAACAACTTTTTTTTTTTAAAGTTTGATTGGTGTTTCAAATTAAAAAAACGTTGCATCTTTTAACCCTCAACTATACTATTTTTAGCTCTGGTATTCTCTTTTTACCTGCATTACAGTGAGCAGGAGCCGCACGGAGTCACAGTTACCAAGCAACCACAACTGGTATTTTTAATGAGATCTGCAAATAATTTGCATTATTTACATGTCCGTGCTATTTTTATTTGACTATAAAAAGAGGCATCTCCACAGCCAGCATGAACAAAGAAAAACTTGGTGACTTAATCAAGTAGATACTTCATTTTCAGGTCTCTCTTGTAAATGAGTCCTCGAGGCTCAATGGGATTTACCTGTATAAATAAAGGTTGATTGATTTTAAAGTAATAAAAAAATACTATATTTCTCTTGAGTTATTTCCTTTTGTCTTTGAAAATGTAAAAAAAAAACCACACACACACTAGACTTTCTAGCTCTAATAACGTTTACAAGATACAGATTTAAAGTTAGGACCTCAAAACACTTAACCTAAATTTTCTTTAAATTGCAAAGACAATTTAATTTCAAGACAAATATTGATAAAGTATATGTATAAGCAACCAGAGCTGGAAGCTCATTAGCGTTTCCAGTATTTAATGGGTATAATGCCAGATCTGACAAGTAGCTGGCTGGGTTTCCCTTTCTTTTCCTAACATTGTCTTAAAGTTCCAGTATTGTAAGTAGTATAGTATAGTAGTGTTTTTAATGAAAGTGTGATTTCAGACACTTACAGCAGTAATGGAGGGCTTCTTGCCATCTCCAGCAGGAGGGTGTGTGACATCTGCTCCCAGAAAGATAACAGGCTGCTGAAACACTGCTGACCTTGAGGTTTACATGAAGGAGGAGATGTAACTCACATCAAGGCAAAGGATCAGAACTTACAATATCATCACATACAGTAATGCCGAGATGAGACATTCATTAATTCATTCAACATTTATTCAAACAGATAGGTCACATTGAGCCTCAAATACTCATTTACAAGTGAGACCTGGTTGGACAGACGATAAAAGTGATAAACTGGACAAATGTAGGAATTAGGAGGTGAAAAAAGTTCCTCAGACTTTTTTCCTGCCTGAGAAGAAAAAAACTCTGATATTAATAAACACCTCGCACAAACAAGCACATAGTGACGTAGACATTCTGCAGAGGGAGACGACGAGAGTGGTGAGATGATCATAGATGCTCTCGAGGGCACTGCAAGGGTTCTGATAAGGTTGTAATAATCAGTCAATGTCCTCCGGTGAGATCCATAAACATTCTCAAGGTATGTCGAGGAATGGCAAAGAATAACGACTATGAGAATCCAAGAGTCCTGAAATGATGACAAGTTTATTCAGCTGGTTTCATCTGGTTATCAGTTGGAAATTCCTCAGGGAGGGGGTGGTGAGCATCAGATCACATGTTCTCCAGGCAAATTCAGATAAGATGGCCTTCAAGGCCAGCCAGGGGAGCCAAATTCAGATAAACACACAGTTGTTTTGGGGACAGGCAGAACTTAATGACATCTACCTCGAGTCTGTGTTGGTCCACTCGGTTCTGAAATGTCCAAATTAACATGGCCACACCGAAGGAACGTGACTGAGTAAAATCCCCGAGATCTGACCCATTCTGCCCAAAGCATTTGAGTCTGGGTACTCGAGACACGAACCAAGCCATCATAAAGACAAGCAGCGTGATCGGGTCCAAAATTTGCTGCAGACGACTTCCTTGATTGTAGATAAAACCAGCAACCAGCCAAATCCAAAAAGCAGGAACCAGTTATCGTAAATCCAATTAAATGTGCGTCCTTAAAATCCACAAATGGCAGCAGAGATAGACACATCATCAAGTCTTCAAGTCGATGAGATATCCAGCTGCGTGCGTGCCAACAGGGCAAATCAGGTCACCTAAAGCCTGTCGTCTCTTTGAAGAAATGTTGTAAATTGAGTTGAGGGACCGACTAATCAAAACAGGTCCATAATTATGGTTCGGAAGAAATGCAAGAGAGTCTCACAAGCAGTTTCACAGACAGACAGACAGACAGAGCAGCAAAGCAAAGCGGAGAGGGAGGGGAGATGCGTTCGATCTCGGCAAGAGCAAGTGGTGACAAGACAAGTTATTCAGCAAGCCTACAAGAGCTGCCAATACAATGATCAAAAAAGAAAAATGTTTAACTATAAAACCCAGATTTCAAGTAGTATTTCTAAATAAAATAATTCCAGTAAATGGGAAGAAAGTGTGGCACAATTTGACTGATAGACTCGTGACATTGATTGGTCTGATTTTTGTTATGTTGTGTGTAAAATACAGCAACAACTTAGTATAAAAATCATTCATATTCTAGATGTCATTCATCGATCATCTATAACACAAGACGTAACAAAATACAGCTCAAACTGAAGCTTACCTTTGGTGAGGCACCAGGATGTTGTTTATTCCTCCCAGCTTTACGTTGATTTTGAGGCAGAGGTTGGAGAGGGTCTGAGGTGACGTCTTTACCACGTTCTTCACCTGAACACACTGCGTGGCCATGCCGAGGAGAGTGTCTCCCACTCGCTTTACCTCAGCTGAAGAGGAGGGTTTGAAAAGTTCAGAAGGCATCACAGTGCCTAATATGTATCTTAAGCAATCGGCTGGATGATGATGACATTACAACTAGGCATTTCAGAAAATAGTTTGTAATTTGGTGGCTACAATGCTGTATGTTTTGAGGATGGATACTTCTAAACTGTATGCCAGCATCAAATGAAAATAATAAAAAGCACATTTACCACCGCATGTCATTAGTTGTACTTTTGATAACAGAATGAACACAAGTATCTGATTTCAAAGAAAACAATAAAAACAGGCCTGAAGACAACATTAAAGTACCATAGACAGGAGTTTTTCCAGGCAGGATGACGATGATGAGCTGCAGTCCAGAGTAGGTGTTCTTCAGGTGTCTGAACATGGGCTCCACGCTGTCCGCTCCCTGGGCGTATTTACAGAAGCACGGCTGGCCTTGGATGGGCATCCCAGCATCCTTTGAGATTTTTCGCAGCTGGTCTGTGAAGTTCCTGAGTTAAAACCACAGAGTATTAGAGACAAACTTCTGCTTAAGTTAAGATTTATTACTTTGACTTAGTTTAAGAATTTTGTGAAAGTTGGTCTTTGATTTTAAGTAATTCAAAATTATTAAATGCTTCACTTAAAAGAGTAACATTTTTTGAAAATAAGTATTTTTTTAGAAAATTTGAAACCAAGTTTGACTCTGCTGTAATGCAAGAGACATTTATTTTCTACCATTAAAACATTAAAATATCGCTAAACTTAGAAACATCTTATCTAAAATTGATGCAGAAAACTGGTTCATGCGTTTGTCATTTCTAGACCGGACTATTATTATCTGGAGGTCCAAATACTTCTTTAAAAAGTCTTCAGTTAACCCAAAATGCTGCTGCCAGAGTCTTAACTGGAGTTAGTAGGAGAGATCATATCTATCCAGTTTTAGCTTCTCTTCATTGGCTCCTTGTCAAAATCCAGAATTGAATTCAAAATCTTACTTCTAACCTACAAAGCTCTCAAAGACCTAGCTCCATCTTATATTACAGATCTTATTATTCCATATTTTCTTAACAGAGCACTTCGCTCTCAGACTGCAGGTTTACTTGTGGTTCCTAGAGTTTCCAAAAGCAAAATGGGAGGCAGATCTTTCAGTTTCAGGCTCCTCTCTTGTGGAACCAACTTCCAGTTTCTGTCCATGAGGCTGACACATTGTCCAGTTTTAAGACTGGACTTAAGACTTTTCTTTTTGATAAATCCTATAGTTCGAGTTGGCTTAGGTTTCCTGAGCTATCCCTTAGTTATGCTGCTATAGGCTTAGACTGCTGGAGGACAAACTGACCACACATCTTAACTATACTACGTTCTTTACTTACTCTGCTCAACCTGTTTTGTAGTTGTAATTAGATTTTCTATCCTAACATGTGTTTTTGTCTGTCAGGTTCACCTGCACCTACATCTGGACCTGCCATTCTATGTTCGTTTGTCTCTCCTTCCTGTTCTCTCAAACCTAGCTGGTCAAAGCAGATGGCCGCTTGTCCTGAGCCTGGTTCTGCTGGAGGTTTCTTTCTTTTAAAAGGGAGTTTTTCCTTTCCACTGTTGCCATTGTGCTTGCTCAGAATGGGAGACCGCGACGAAGTGAAGATTCAACGAGTCTGCTGGCTTCCTTACATAAAGAACTTTACTAATTGGCTTTTTTATACATGTGAATGTTCCTGTAAAGTGCTCTGAGACAACCTTGTTGTGAACTGGAACTATAAAAATAAACTGAATTAAATTGAAACCTTTAAAATGATGGTAGATCTAATGATTTGACTCAAACTTTAAAAGCACAGCCAAAGAATGCTAGGAGTGAAAGAAATGTTTAATTATTTCTGAAAAAATAAAATAAAATAAAAATCCTCGCTGCTGCTACTCGTTAGAACTTACTTAAGCACCTCCTCTCTGCACTGTTTCTGGGGGGCAAAGCAGGCGATTGCCCAGACTTTGATCTCAATGCCGTTGTAAAACTGCTTCCCCCTCATGTCCCACACTCCTTGGTTGGGGGTGGCTATGGCCCGGTTCTGGGGAAACGAAGAACCACAGAAACAACTGTAAGTCAAGCCCTGCGAGACCAGTTTTCGAACCTCTGCATGTTTGGCAACAGATGATGCCAGAGGAGCCATGTTTACCCGTCCTCCATACTGCAGAATCGGCGCTGGCAGCACTCTGCCCGTCACCTCAGCCATATCGTCTTTCACCTTGATTCCAAACTCCTGGATGTAGGGGTCCAGGTTGAAGTTGGCATTTTTCATCTGTGGAGATGAAAAGACATGCGTTTCTTTCACTGCCTCCAACTATAAATCACTAGTGCGTACGGTCTCATGTGTCATGTTAGTTGCCAGTTTTCACTAAAACTCACCAGCCTGCTGATCTCCTCTTGTCTGTCGGGTGCAGAACGAGCCGTTGCTTTGATCATAGTGGAGGTCTGGTTATCTGTCAGTTTCTTGATGCATCGTTGACCAGCTACAATGTTGCACACCTGACATAAGAAAACACAGAGATTCACTAAGGTTTGGGCATCAAACTAGGTTTAAATTTCTGTATGCCTGATATTTTAATAACGCCAAAAGGCAAACACAAATGTTTTGTCTGTGTCTTTGTGCGTGTTAATTTGCCCGTTATTAAAATATCTCTTAAAATAATGGATGGGTTTTAATTCAACTTGCAGAGTAATTATTAGATGTCCATCTACATATAAACTTTTGAGGTCAACTTAATCCAAGATGTCTGCCACAGCCAACTGGCTATAACTCAATCAACTTTAAAAATATTGACCTAAATTACCGGAGTGTAGTGGTAGCTGGGACTGATCCCAACATTTGTTCTGAGCACTAACAAACTTCACAAGATCTTTGTTTAAAACTTTGCCATTCCCCATTTGTGTGTTAGCAAAATATCACCTGAACCACAGGAAAACTGTTAATAAAACCTCTGAGAAATAATCATTACATATACCTCTACACCTAAATGGGTTTTGGAGCCAATTCAATTCAAGATGGCTCCCACAGCAAAAGAACGCTAGAAAACTCTAAAAGGCTATAATTCTGTCAGTTACTAATACTGAGCTAAAATTTGGTGTGGTTGTAGATGAGAGTCATTCACTACACATATTACAAGTGGTACACACTGTGCATCAACTGAATCAACCCTGTTTGTTAGTAAAATATCACATAAATGACTGATTTCAGTTAAAACTTATAAAATACCTATTGGATGTTCATTTTCAACTAATTAAGTTTTGGTGTCATTCAAATGAAGAAAGGCTGCCACAGCTCATAAATATCAACAAACAAAAATGGCTACAACTCCATCAGTTTTACTGATATTAAGCTAAAATTTGACGTGGAAGTAGTTAAAAGTTATTTTCAACACATGCTTGGAAAGTAACGATATCACATTGAGCAAGGTTTGACCCAACATCCACATCTCTGTCATTTTACATCATAATGTTACATCATGTTGGTTGAAAACTCTGGTATTAAAGGCAAAGGGTGAATGCATTCCTTCATGGAGTTCTGGGACTTTAATATTTTTTTGCGTTAATCCCTAAACAACCACATTTTCTTAATTAAATCCTCCCCGACTACTTCCTTACCTCCAGGGGTAGATAGGTGTGCTTTTGTTCCTGTCCCACTTGTAGACAGGGCAGGTGGGGGTATTTGAGCTGCAAGTTGTACTTCTGCTTGAAGTACTGGGCCACTGTACATTCTACTGTCTGCCCGCTCTCAAGCTGGAGAGGAAACCTACGTAGTCATCAGGAATAAATAATTAAAAAATATCTGCTTTAGTCATTAAAGTTGTAATGCATCATTGTCTAGCTCCAGATATGGAGATAGTTATTCTGCTATTTGAATTATTTGCCTGTTCATTGTGAACACTGAGGTGACAATAAGAAAATTGCAAAAGCTGTGTGTTATTTTATATTTACGTCTGGTGACTGGCAGGACGTCTGGTGACATTGCATACGCGGTATTTCCTTTTCATTTGTCCACAGTGTGTCACCTCCACCTTTAAGCCTGTAAACAACCAGTTAAGACAAAGAAGCATTAACACAGCCTGACACCAGAAAGGTTAAAAACACAAAAAGTAATCAAGTTAAACGTAAAAATCTGATAAATATAACACATTCTGTTGGAGGAAAATTACTAAATGAACTGTCGATAAAACCTAGAGGGTTTATTAGCTTGGGGTCATCCTGTCATCAGAACAAACAAGTTTCTTACCTTTAATCTCTTTAGTGAAACGAACCCTCTGGGAGTCTGTGAGAGTCTTTGGCTGTTCATCGATGTTGCGAATATCCAAAACTTCACACATGAACTCAATTACAGGTTGAGCTTTGTAGAAGGCCGTGGCAGACACTAGAGGGAGACAGAGAGCAACAAATAAGTTCCTAGATAAAAGTCGACCAGTCACAATGATGGCATTTACTGAATTTTATTTAAAAGCAGAAAAACAGAAAAGGTGGTCGCTTTGTATGTCACTTTATAAATACAGTATCAGTAGTGATTTAATTCCTTTCTGTTGTGGAGTAGATGTTAAAATGTGTGTGCTCATGCGGCGTCAGTAAAAGACACTGAGATCACTGAATGACCTCACACTGACACAGCTTGACTCACCATCTATGTTAAGCATCATCTTCCACATGGCGGGACGCACAGACTGATGAAAGCCAAACCATACTTCCCTGCCCCCACCCAGGGGGTGGTAATATCCTTCAGGTGGGGAGAAGAATGAGCGGCCCACTGGAGTGTACCTAGTTGGACAGAGTTGAGAAGTAGAATTGATTTTACACAAAGTAAATTCAAGACGTGCTGATTAAGAAATGGGATACATCGTCACTGAACTGATATCTGTTACTTGTGGATTTTTTGAATGAACACATTCTGGTCCTGAAGCGAATTATCTCGTTCCATTACTAAGCATTGTTGTGTCAGTTTCACACAGGTTTCAGCTAACTATCATCTTTTGTGGAGTGACTCATGCCTGAAGCTATGATCATCCCCAAAGTGTAGAAAGGAACTCAGTGAAGCCTGATAATGTGCACAAAAGGCTGTCATGTTTTTTTTTTTAAGAAAAAGAACAAAAGAAGGTCAAAATCACAACTTATTACTCAGCTGGAACACAAATGACTACAACAATAATAGTCACGCTGCTGGAATATGAATCCTTGTACATATTCGGGCCAGTAAGAATGCATCAAAGAAACAAAAGTTTTACTTAGGTGTACCTCATAGAGGCTAAGTGACGCATGGCCACGTCCAGGGCTTGAACTGAGTCGAGGGGGACCTGCAGCCGCCCGCTGACCAGCGTCTCCTGCAGCAGGCGCCATGACACCTTGGCCAACCAGCGAATGGACACTTTAAAGATACGATCCTTACCCTCACCGGGGATGGTTACCTCAAAATCCACCTGGCAGCAGACGGGACATAAAGTAGAGATCAACGAGGGCAAAGAATAATAACCTGCAAAAAAACACCAGTACAAATGTACCTTCTCGCTCCCAATAGGAAGTGCTAGCACCGTATAAATGTTCTTCTTGCCATCGTACACCGGCTTCCTGTCACCAAAGAGCTGGGGCTTGAAATGTTGGACCATGTACTCCACCACCTCTCTGTAGGGACCAAACATAAAATGGCTTTAATCAATAGAAACCGAAAGAAATCCCATTTAGCTAATTTACCCCTCATGATGCTTTATAGTGACGGCGTCTAATATGATAAGAGTATTGATCAAACAGGATACATCTGGTGGGTGCAACATATCGTGGTCATGGCGGGACAGGCAAGAACAAAAAGAGTGAGGGTGCAGGTGGCAGTGGGGGGCAATGTTCAATGCCTTGGTCTTCATTTCAGTGTGGGGGATTAGGAGAGGCTCATAAAGAGCAAAGGTCAAAGGCCTCAACCTTTGCATGCGTTTTTTAACCTTTTGTGTCTCAAATTCAAAATGTACTGAAGCTGAAAAAAAATGTAGAGGATATTTTGATCTAGATATGCAACTTAAGGATTTCTTATTTTTCAGACTCAAGGTTTCCAAAGCCTACAAACTTCGTTTTATAAGTAAATTTAAAAAATGACTATTGGAGATCTCTCACATTCTTAAAGTACATTTAGAGATGAGTTTTTGTACAATCCCCTTAATAAAATACAATTTTAAATTAAAGTATAGCATTATTTTAGGAAATGCCCATTTTCTACCAATTTTTAAGTCAAAATCTGAAAAACCTACTGAGTTATAACCAGTTTAGTGATTTTTTTTTTTAATGGTCAAAACAGAATGACATGACGGCATTGTCTTGTTCATTTCTGCTTTAAATGACAATATTGCTTCTTTCATGGTTTTGATTAGTAATAATTATCCACAATATAAACGCACACTAGATTTTCTTCTTAAACTTGTACTTGTCTACAAATATATTGAAAACATCATTTACTTTATCATGTTGACAAATAAAAATCTGGTTTCGAATGATGTCCCATTCAAAATAGCTTAAATGAATATCTGCAACCATCTAAAGTGACGAGGCAAACAGAAGAGTAGTTCATGTTGCTGGTGTCAAAGCTGTGTGGGACTAGTGGCAACGAACAGAAAATTAATCGTCTCATCTTCCTGCTAATGGTCAGCCCTGGATCATATGTTGTTGACGGCCACCACACAGTCACGAGCCTGACACCACGTCAGCGTGGTAATAAAAGCATGGAAGAGTCGGACCTCCATAAGAAAATGAATCCTGCTGGATCAAACACAGTTAAGTGCCAGGTTGCCAATTCTCATCAAAGGCACAGAAGAAAGCTTTTTGTAAAAGGAGCAGGTTCTCTGGGGAGCTATGACAAACGCCAGCACCGCAGACAGCACATTTCCCTCATGAGCGTTGAAATTTAGGTTTATGTTCCGTTTAGTTCCGAGATTAAAGTAACGAATGGGACAAATCATAAACATGGCAGATCCTTTGTTTGTTCCTGAATGTGGTTTAGCTGAAGAAAAAAGAAAATCCTGGCTTAAACCAGTAAAACTACATAGAGATCATAGTTACATGAGGAAAAGCTGTTAGTGAAGACTGATGATTACAAGCATTTAAACTAAGATTTTACAACTGCAGCATTATTACCCTTTAGCCTGCATATTTGATCCAATTGCACCGTTTAAAACATGGGCTGAACTGCACTGACCATTTCAGGTCTCGTTGCTGATGCACATTTATTTCTCACTTTGCGGGGCGAAAATAAGGAACCGTTCAAAAAATAAAATTTGGAGCTTTTTTTAACACTTATTTTCATTCTATTATAGCTCAGTTGTAATTTACCAAGATTTCCTGTGATTTTCAGTATTTATTTTATTTAATCTACATTAATTACGTTTGTGATTGATTCACTTTCTTTTAGTCATGCATGTGTCGATGGAGGATGTTGTAAGAACTGTTTTACATCCTGATTTCATTAAGTTCATGCATGTGTGTGAGGGGGTTATTGCACTTTGTAAATCTTTGTGACATGTGCAAACGTGACTGACGTTACGTGCGCCGCAGAACGGCCGCACTGACAGGAACTCCTCTTCGACTCTACCTTTTTTTATTCCTGTTGTTTTTAACTTTATTTGCGCCTACACTGCACACTCATAGTACGGGTATGAACGAAACACACTTGTGGAGTTTTGTGTCGCTGCCTTGCCATCCTGCCATCGTGGTTCAGTTCCTGCCCCCCCTCCAGCCTCAGCCTCAGGTTCCGGCCTATCATGGTGACCGTCTCCATGATCCTCCATCTGCCTGCACGGACCGAACTCTACGGACCCGTTCGGTTCTACGGAGAAACCTTGGATGTTGTCCATCCGCCAGACCCAGTTCTGGAGGCAGTCTGGGAGGGCAGCTGCTGCGGCCATCATTATCATGAAGCTGCTGACAGGACCTGCTAACGCTGCTAAAAAGACCACGCCACTAACCGAACCACACCACTAACAGTACCATGGTGCCAATGGGCCCATGCTGCTAAGACATACCTCGTTCCTAACAGTACCATGGTGCTAACAGTACCATGTTGCTAACTGGACCATGTTGCTAACAGTACCATGTTGCTAACTGGACCATGTTGCTAACAGTACCATGTTGCTAACTGGACCATGTTGCTAACTGGACCATGTTGCTTAGAGAATCACTCTGCTAATAGAACTATGCTGCTGTAATCTATTTCTTTTTCACTTTTGGCTCCTTGTTTTTGTTGCTTGTTTTGATATTTAATGTTGTTTTTTTGGCGAGTGGAGACGGTTCTTCTCGTCCCGAGCAGTTCATTGTCTTGTTGACCTTGTGTTGATTTTACACAGGACAAATAAACCAAACCTGAAATAGTTCAGCCAAAAGATAAAAGTTAGCCTTTGGCTACATCTGGAATAAACCACATTCCTGTTTAGTAAACAATATCCCTCCCCATCTGCTACATTTATCACAAAGCTCAGGGCTTGAAGTGACTATTTATTGTGTACATGACTGTATATATGGATGCAACCAACCCCCCCCCCCCCCCCCCCATATTCATGTCGCACCAAGACACCTAATCAAACTCCTTGTATGTGCAAATAACATGATCAGGCTTGACATCATTAAATTAAATAATAAACTGTGGATGAAAGTCTAACCAAAGCTGTCAAGTTCTTTTACCTGTTGACTCGTCGTGGGCACTTGTCAGGCTTAATGTCCACCTCATAGTGATAGACGTCCATCTTTGGGATCTCCACTTCAAAATAGTTGGCCAGTAGTTTGATGGGCTTGCCCACGGTGCCCATGCCCGGCCGGCGGGGGGCATGGAACACCTGCTGCAGGGGCGGGGGGAAGACCCCCAAGGGCACTGGACAGACAGATTACAAGAAGGCATCCATGAGGACAGGAAATGGAGGGAAGGGGGTTAAATGCAAACAGGGATCAAATGAAGAAAGTGAGCAGTCAGAGAATATTCAGGTTGGTTAAATGAATGGACAGAGCAGGAACACAAGAGGAAAACAGCAATGAAAAGAGGCGGCAGAGTAAATTATCAAAAGAGAAAATGGCAAAAGAAGGGGTCACAAATGTTATGAGTCAGGAAGGAAATGTAGGCAGAGGAAAAATAAAATAAAGCGCAATTAGTGGCCCCAAGATTTAACAGCAGAGACAGGAAGGCAGGGAGAGAGGATGGGAACGAAAGGAAACGATGTCAAGAAAAGTGCAGCAGATGTGAAGCCAGAGAAAAACAGAGAGGTACAAAAATGAGTAACACACAAGACGATGAAGGGAGTTTGGTAAAACATAAAGAACAAGACAAACAACCAGATTAAGACAAAAATGGAGACAAGAGGGCAGAGAGGAGAAGAAATAAATTAACAAAATAATCCTTTACAACAAAATGTTCCCCAGTTATCACCTCAACTTTTGATTAAATTTTCAACAAACCTGAAAGTCAAATGTTTTTGAAAAAATATCCCATAAGGAAAAAACTTTGCAATAAATGCCTCATTATCAAAATTTCAGCAAATTTGTAAGCCAAAGTAAAATGAAAAACAATGCCCTTTTGTCTAATGAATATTATTTTTACTGTCTGTTAACAAATGGAATGAAAATAAAAATCATTTGGATGAAAATAACACTTGGCGTGACAATTCTTCACCATCATCAGTTGTTTCAGAAACACTTGCACAGTTGTTGAACAAACACTGCAGGAAGGTATGCTCAATAATCCAGGTAGAAAAATCTAAAGAAAAGTTCAATCTGGTCCTCTGGACTGCAGGAAGGTTGTTGGAGAACTGATCCCAGATCTAGTCTTGGCGTCTTTTCTTGAAATCTCAGACACACGTGATGTTTAGACCAGGACTCTGTACAGGCCTGTTGATCTGTGCTGCTTCAGAAGAGCTTAAAACACTTCAGACTGAAACTCCCAGCCGCTCCTAAACATTTGCCTGGGAGACACCTCGCTACTGCAGGATAAATACTTTGGGTCATGTTGACTTGCTCAAGTGTGTTCAGCTTCATGTTCGACCTGCAAAAAGAAACTGTCAAGAACTGAAGCTGGTCAGAAGGCAAAAGGTCCATTCATTCATTCATTCATTTTCTGACACTTATCTGTGGTCAGGTCATGGAGGAAACAAGTTCAGGAGGGGGAACCCAGACCACCCTCCCCCCCAGCTCCTCCTGGGGAATCCCAAGGTGGTCCTAGTCCAGAGAGAATGTACAATCCCCTCAGCGAGTTCCAGGTCCACCCTGGGATCTCTTCTATGTGGGACTTGACTGAAAAACTTCTAATCAAATCCCAAAACCAAGACTCCCATATCCTCTGCTTGAGGCAGAGACTTGCACCGGCCTGGAGGGAGCATATTCAGTTGGCAATCGGTGCTCACACCAAGTATTGTTCAGATATAGCTTTAGTTTTTTTTAGCCCACTTCTCATGTTGTAAACAGCTACAAAAATAACCGGTTTGAATGTACATTTGGGACATGTGCTTTTTCAAAACAAAAACTTTCAAAAGCTTCAAAATGAGTCGTAGTTTGGCGTTTTATCGCACGTTAGTTTTGTTTGCAATAGTGCCAGTTTGAAAACTTGGTTTTTTTAATAGGTCTCTGGAGTGATGTCATCAAGGCTTCCAGCCATCTGAATGTGACTGATCATTTGTGCGTGAGTTAGTCGTACTCTCTCTTTCTGAAACTGTACCCATCATGCAGCTTAAGTCAGACTAGTACGTGAATGTCAATGCCCATAAGTTTCACTTCTTTAAAAAAAAAAAAAGATAACTGCATCAAACATACGACTATAGAAAGTGCTGGAGGGCGGGTGTCCTAGACTGGATGCTAGATGTGAGGCTAGCTGTGACTCCTGGATGAGAGGGCCCCACTGCCTTAACCTTGGGGTCCCCAGAGAGAAGCCCTCCTCTATCCCAACAAAGACCCCAGCTGCCCTGCTCCTCCATCTCACATACAGAAATACACGGCTGTACTATGGAGGGAGTGCCCTCACCACGATGAACGCACTGATACAGGGCCCCCCCTCCATCTACATTCCCAGCCTCACCATGGAGACACCACGGCAACACAGTATTGTCATGGATATAAGGGGATCTGTGTGTGTATGTGTGTGTGGCTGCTGGAGGAGGCTGGCTGCCACTGCGGTCACGCTGAAGAGACCTTGGCCTTTTTGGGGTCTGCACTGAGCGCGCTCAGACCACGAGGAAGTGCCCAGGCATCAGAAAGTCCTAAACTTGGAATGTCCTGCTTCAAATGGCCATGTGGGTAGAATCACACCTCCGACAAGCGCAGTAAACACAGATTCAAGACATGTGGTGACCACGCGTACTCTCCGAGTAAGCGAGGGCGCATGTGTGCAAAGAACGTGCAAACGATCGTTGCACAGTCGTCGTGCACAAAGACACACGCGTCTCCCTTGTGCCAGTAAAGGCAGATGGTGAGAAGAGGAGCCAGCGCTCTCACATATCCCAACACAATAGGGATCTCTCGCAGGCGGTAAGACTTAACGTGGAGCATCACAACTAGAAAACACTCGCCGCTTCTTATTGTCTGCATGACAGAACCAGACCAAGAGGCGGAAAAATCACCGCTTTACATTTTCACGTGTTGTGTTCCTACTGGCAAGTTCATAAATTTGCTCAGTTAATTGTTATTTGAATACATTTTGGGAGAGGTGAGCCTACGAAAACGTAAGATACAAGCAGTGTAGCAAGTGATAAATAGTGTTACTGGGATAAATTATCTTAAGAGGAACACCCTTTAAATTTTCAAAATATATGGACCAGTCAGTACAATTACTGGATAACTTGGCGCTCATCAATACAAGTCAAGCACATAAACAACAACAACAACAATCCATCCGTTTCTTTGCCAAACTATTTGTCTTGGCAGCTGATCAAGATGCAAACATGTCTGATCACTCTGGGAAAACAAAAACACTTAATTGTCACACTTCAAACACAAAAAGCAGACTTCAAAATCAGGGGCCTCTGTGGCCCTTCCCCCATACCAAAAAAAAAGATGATTTAAAAAAGGGCCATTTAATCAAACTAAATGTTTAGAAACAAGAATGAGAATTACACTTTTATTCTCTGCTCTAGTTGTACGAATAAAGCAACAATTCAAGGTGTGCGGTCAAAGAGTTCATAACTTTACACCTACTTTTTTTTTATAAAGTGTTTGAAGCTGCTGATGAAGAGTTTTAACAATGAATTATTAATGTTAATCCCACTTCAGTTCAGACCATGAAAATGCTCGCCTCCACATCTGTATCAACAAACAATTTGTTTTAAAGAAAAGAGAACGTCAAGAGAGCAAAGAGAAGCAAGCATGCAGAATAAAAAAATAAGAATATACCAATAAATATTAAGAGGTTTCTTCCAGTTTTTAAACAGCTCAACTCCTGCACCAAAAAGCAGAGTTTCACCTAAATAAATAAATCAGACTTTGCTGCATGTGTAGGCCTCAGAGACGGACTTTATGCAGCTCAGGTGTTCAGGTTCAACTGTTCAAGTCAACAGCGTGCGGGTCCAGCAGTCAGAGGGAGGCCGGTGCTCTGTGCGGGACGTGCGGGGCACAGCCAGCTGCTGCTGTTGCTGCCGAAGGCGGGCTTCACCGAGATTCCCACGACCTCCCTGCCCCCCGCACATGGACGAGGATATTGTCAGCGATCCACAAGGCTTGTCTGAGCTAATCAATCTGAACAAATAACGTTTTCTGGTCATTGTGGGAGATGTAGGCAGAAAGAGAGCCGTTTACATCCCCTCTCTGAACGCTGCGGTTTAACGGAAAAGGGTTGACACCAAGCGGATTCTCCTGCATCCACCCCCTCCTCCCCGACGCTCTGTTATGTTTCTGCAGCCATGACTCGGGCACATAGATTTATAGTATTTTAAATAACAAGTAAAACTAATACGCTTACCAGCGCCAGACGGTCCCGGCTCCATCCCATTCACTTAGCCGCGCAGGTACAAGCTAGCTAGTGCGGGGTGCTGTGGCCAAACCGCCGGCCGCTTCAGGCTGGAGGCGTCTCAGACTTCCAGCCCCCTCCTCTCGGCGTGTAGTCGTCTCCCTTCTCGGTGTACCCCCGCCCCCTTGCCCCTAAACAAAATCCACCCCCCACCCGCCCCAACCCCAAGACCCGCACAGAGGAGTCGAGGCTAACGGCTGACGTGCCAGTTGACCCCGGAGCTGCTAACGGTGGAGGGAGAAAACGTCCGAATTCAAAACCGCTTCTCTCCCTCCGCGCAGCGCGAGCCTCGCCGCGGAGTGATTTCAGCCGACTGTCCGCCGTGCCGTGATTTGTTGTCGGCGTGTTACGCTCCTTCTCACCGCTCAGGCAGGATTCAACTACGGAACAAAAAGGCCCCCCCCCCCCCTCCCTCCATTAAAAAAAAAAATAGATAAAACTTCTTCACTGCCATTTTTAAAAAGTTCAAACGAACCGTTGATGAACTTGCTGTCACACCCTAGCGGCTGAAAGCAGAACTACACCACAAACGCTCAAACATTTGGAAAGATTTCAGTGTGCAAAAAGTCTTTTATTATTATTATTATTATTATTATTAAACATCTATACTAGTAAAATATTACATATTTTATTTGTTAGATGAAACAAGTCCAGAAAAAAATGCTTAACCCTGCATTTTAAACGTAGTTATTTTGCATAATAAATTATTGTAATACATACCAACTTCATTAAATAAATGTTATAAAAATGGAGTACTTTAAATACATTTTTAGTACCTAACAGTTTAGTTCGTCGTCCTAATGCTCAGTAAGCATGCGCAAACGCGTCCATCCGCATGGTTTGTAAATCTGCTGACGCAGGAACGGAAGTCGTCGCGGTGCGTAACGTCACGTAGCTCCAGTAGGGAAGTGGTCGTCATCGTAAAGAGCTGTGAGTTGGAAGGTGTACGAAATGTGAGAAAACGGCCGTGGCTTCGACAGAAGAACAACCGGTGCTTCTGCGCTTTGGATGAAAGACGCCGTTTCCTCTGACGGTGAGTGTTTTCCGTTTGGATTTTGTTTGACTTTGCGCCGTTTTTTTGAGCCTCGGGGCTGCTGCTCTGCCTGGTTCATCACGAGCTCGAGTGGCATTGACGGATTGAAAGCAATCACCGACATCAGCTGAAATGTGATCATCCGCATAAATATAACTAGTAATGTGATCTAATACTAACATGCACGGCGTGTTTTTTTGTCTTGTCTGGTCGTTTAACATCAAATAAAGCATTTCAAACCGCGTCATTTCAGAACGTTTGGAACTTGAAAGCCATGTCTTGGATAAAAGAGGGTGAATTAAATCTGCTGGAGAAGATTTCCGCCAACATCCTAAAGGTAGGAACACACGTGTGTGTGAACTTTCAGTTTTCAGGGTAAAAAGAAGGAACCCCACCATTAAACACGTTTCGTCATAACTGTCATATTCCTGAACACAGTCCCTGAAAATAGCTGCAAGATTTTAGAAAGTGCAGTGATTTATTATTTTTGTATGAGGATCAATCAGGAGTAACAGGAATATCCAGTAGTAGCTTATTACTGAAAAGGTTATGTTACTATGGGGTTGCTTTCTGATGGCCATTGCAACTGCATAGAGAATGAAGTTTTATTATAAGGGGAAAGGGTTAATCAAACTCACAAAGATTTTGTTTTTTTAAGTCTTCCTTTCTGAAATATAAAAATATAAATGCAATGCAGCTGACTTGAAACCTCACATCATGTGAGCACCATGACCTGATCTGAAGGGATTTTAAAGGTAAAATGTGCAGTTTTGCACACAATGGCATTTTTATATTTACACAATACACTTATTTCAAACCAGATCAGTCAATAATGGTCATAATAATAATGACAATGAGGGAGTTTTTCCTTTCCACTGTCGCCTTCATGCTTGCTCAAGATGAGAGTTCTGTGATGGAGTGCAGTCTGCTCCTCAGATAAATGGTGTTAACCTATTATTTTGTATAGATGAATGTTTCTGTTCAGCGCCCTGAGACGACTTCTGCTGTGACTTTGCATTAAATAAACTGAAATGAATTGAATTAATGTACATATAATGATAGTTTGATCAATTTTTTTTTTTTTTATCTGGATGGTTTTATTGTGCTTCTACTAGCATCCATTGTGAACCCAACCTAGATTTACTGAATGAAATAAATGAACTTTCTTTGAATGTTTTTGTGTGAACAGCTGCTTGGCTTCTGCTGACCTTTGCACACAGTTGATGTAATATTGGTGCTTTTTTCCTCACAATGTCTGAGCTGTAACGAAATATTCTGCAAGCACTTTTCCCTCAGGCCTCCGTTGACACCATTGACGTTAAACGCTTTTTTTGGGGAAGTTACAAATAAACACAATAAGCTCTTATTAGATGTTTGTTTTGGCATATAGTTATTTACTTAAAAAACATTCAGCTGAGCAGCTGGTAAAAATTAACGTTTACCTGGGAAAAATAAAAGTACAGCACATGATCTTATAAAATAGTAAGCTTCCTGAAATGTATGAACAGTGTTTTATAAACTATTAGTAATGGTTTATAATGTGTAAACTCATGAACAACCTATTTATAAAGCATTAATATATTTGTTTAAAGTATTCTTTTTTTTAAAGTGCAAAGTCAGTTATTGGAAAATAAAAGTATTATTCACCTTTTTTTTTTGTTTGTTTGTTTTTAAACAATCAAAGTAATATTTCCCACCATAAGTGTAGTGATTATAGTTTACGATAAATAATTTCTCGTGTTCAACACAGACTCTTCAGACGTCTCTGTTTATAATATTTTAGCCGGATTATTGCAAGAATCTGAAAACATCTCTGGGAGACTAGTTTTCAAAATATTCTACTTTTTTTTTTTTTCCATTTGGGGCAAAAAAATTTAACTTACTTGAAACATTCCTCGTTTTGGAAGACTTTTGCTTTTCATCTTTTCATCACAGTTCAGCTTATGATGAATAAAAAAAAAAACTTTTAAATAGTACTAATTTCTTTAGTACCACTAGAGATTTTGAGTACCACAGTTTAAGAAGCACGTGTTTAGATCAGGGGTCTGCAACCTTTATGATCTAAAGAGCCATTTTTACACCTTCGTTCACTAATTAATTAACATTAATCGTGTCCGGAGCCGTAACAACCTGCTACAATTGCGGTCATCAACTGGTGGTCCGTGAGCCACTTTAGGTTTGCTGGAGGAGGCTTTTGTGGCCAGTAGGGTTGACATTAAAAAGACAAAAATATCTAGTGGTTTTAAAATTTATTAAAGAAAAAGACCAAATTCTTGTAAATGGGGGGGAAAAAACAGTTTTTACCTTTGTATTATTATTATTATTATTATTATTAAAAATTGTCAACTATGCAGACAGTTCTTCATATAAAGAAATAAAGCATCAAGTTAAAGTGGGTGTGCTTTACTTCTTGTACTCACGCCAGTGTTCACATATTTGAAAATAAATTACAAGAAAACGTTTTGAACTAGTCCTTTTTTGTTGTTTGCACAACGATCAATAAAATTTGGTTTTATGTCGGTTTTGGTCGAAGTTTGAAAGAGGCGCTGCAGAGGGACCAAAGAGCCACATGTGGCTCGAGAGCCGCAGTTTGCAGACCCCAGGTTCAGAGGAACAAAGTGATGGTAGTTTTTATTCAGGCTTTACCAATCAGTAGCTGAAATGTCTGTGTTCTCTGATGAAACTGGTAAAGACTGCAAGATGTAGAATGCATTTCTGGTCATTAAGGGATATTTTAATGTCAATAAAATATCTTACATGTTCAGTTTGATCAGTTATCAGTTTATTGTTGGACACCAGGAAAATAGATACTTGCTTTATTAGTGTGAAAAGGTATATAGAAACGCACATTGTCATATAAAATGCAATGAATGCTACAAAATCTCATCTCAGTTTGTTTCAAAGGTGAACAACTCTATAACATGTATTCATCTTTCTTGACAATTGATGCGTCTGTTGATTTAACATTCTCCTTGTCTCGATCCCACATGTCTTGACTCCCCTGTTCCGTCTCTCCCAGGCAGGACCCATGCCTAAACACGTGGCCTTCATCATGGATGGTAACCGGCGCTTCGCACGCAAGAAACACCTGGAACGCCAAGAAGGACACACGAAAGGATTCAACAAGCTGGCAGAGGTCGGTCCTCGTTTGGCCCCGAAAACCAACACCGTCGGGCGTCGTACACGATTATTAACTCTTTAATGTTTCCACACCAGACGCTGCGCTGGTGCAAACATCTCAACATCCCCGAGGTGACGGTGTACGCCTTCAGCATCGAGAACTTCAAGCGCACTAAAGAGGAGGTGGATGGCCTGATGGCGCTGGCCAAACAGAAGTTTGAGAAGTTGTTGGAGGAACGGTGAGTTTAAAACATTTCCACTGTTGTTTGAGACTTTTGTTTTGTTGTTGTAAATCATGATTCACTGCTTCCTTGAAGTCCATTTTAAGCACAACTGTATAAATATTTGTCTAAAACTGTAACGTTAGTTTCAGTTTGAGCATTTTTGGCTCAAGTGAAACAGTAATTTGTTGTAACGGGGATCAGATCAGCTGTAAAACGCAGTCAGTCAGGTTCTCAACGTTTTTAGATCTTCTGATGTGAACTGATGACAGACTAAGATAGAATAACAAATATCATTTAAAAAAAGTGAATTTCCATTGCTTTTCTCACTAACTTCTTCATGTTATTACAAAAATACCATACCATTTTATTTATAGAGCACTTAAAACAGCTACAAGGCCAACCAAAGTGCTGTACAGATGGAACAACGGGTAACACACGAAGCAATATACAAAATGAAGTAAATCAAAAATATAGACATAAAAACGATGCCGATAATAAATATGATGACAAACCAGTGTGGAGCGTACAGGTTCAAAACACAGATCCTCTGGTGTTGAAAGCTACTGAATAGTAGTGAGTTTTTAAACGGGATTTGAAAACCAAGAGGGAGTGGGCCAGTCTGACAAGCAGCGGCAACTCGTTCCAAAGTCTTGGTCCTGCTACAGAGAAGCCCCTGTCACCTCTGCGCTTAAGACGAGTTCCTGGAACTGTGAGGAGCAACTGGTCCGCTGACCTCGGGGAACGTGGTGGGACATACGGTTGTAGCAGATCAGAAAAATGTTCCAAAAGATTTATTTTCTTTTGAAATTTCACATAAAATCTGTTGCAAGGATTTTATTTCTTCATTTCATTTTTTTTTTAATGGCTGTACTTTATGCACACATTTTACTCTTGACAGCAAGACCAACAAGCTGACTTGTGACATGCTTCATAAAGTTCATAGTTTGCCTTCCTTCATTGGGATTTAGTTTTAAAGAAATATTCTAAGAAAATAGAAATGATTGAATTATTAAAAGGTTTCTGTTGCTCCCAAACTGGCAACACATGCATCTTTAGAATATTCGGCCTTTCGTTACATCTGTCTGCTGGACGTTTCTGTGCTTTTAAAACAATAAAACAAAATCGCTGTCAAACATTACACGCTCACCTGTGGGCAATCGAAAGATGGTCGCTCATTTAATACAGAAATAAAAATTGTTGATCAGGTTTTTACCCATAATTCCTTTATGCATGCATTAGTTTGTCATATGATGGCTCATTTAGCCTAAATGACAATATTTTGTATTTATTTTTCTTATTCCATACGTTCACCATCTTCCGCTTGTTCCAAAGTTGGGTCGCGGGAGCAGCTGCTTGAGCAGGGAGGCCCAGACATCTCTCTCCACATCCACCTCTTGCAGCTCTTCTGGGAGGACCCCAAGATGTTCCCAGGACAACAGAGAGACATCCAGCATGTCCTGGGTCTTCCTCGGGGTCTCCTCCCAGTCGGACATGCCCGAAGCACCTCCCTAGAGAGGCACCCAGGGATCATCCTTACCAGATGCCCAAACCATCTCAACTGGCTCCTCCCGATGTGGAGGAGCAGCGGTTCTACTCCAAGTCTCTCCCGGATGACTGAACTTCTCACCCTATCTCTAAGGGAGAGTCCAGCTCCCCTGCAGAGGAAACCGCCTGCTTCCACGATCTCATTCTTTCGGTCACTACCCAGAGTTCATGACCATAGGTGAAGGTAGGAATGTAGACTGACCGGTAAACACATAGCTTAGCTTTTTAGCTCAGCTCTCTCTTCACCACAATGGACCGACACAGAGTCCACAATACTGCAGACGCTGCACCAATCCGTCTGTCAGTCTCACACTCCATTCTTCCTTTGCTCATGAACAAAACCCCGAAATACTTGAACACCTCCACTCGAGACAGAACCTCACCCTCGACCTCAAGAGAGCAACCCACCTTTTTCCCGACTGAGGACCATGACCTCAGATTTGGAGGTGCTGATTCTCATCCCAGCTGATTCACACTCGGCTGTGAATCGCTCCAGTGAGAGCACCATTCTTCTTGTTTTCTTAATATTTTCTGTTGTAGGTAAGTTTTTTGTGAAACTGTCACCACAAAGATTTGTGAGACAGGATGATTACCAACATTTGACAAATCACGTGACACCTTTCTGCAGACAGACACACGCTGCAGTATCCTGAGCACATTTTATTATTAACCTTTATTTAACCCATTGAGATCACAGATCTCTTTTGCAAGGGAGGCCTGGGCCTGGAGGCAGACTAACATGCACGTTTTTGTTCTGTGGGAGGAAACCGGAGTACATGAAGAAAACCCATGCAAGCACGAGAAGAACATGTAAACTCCACACAGAAAGACCCCATTTCCGCAGATTGAACCCAGGTCCTTCTTGCTGTGAGGCAGCAGTGCTAACCGCTGAGCCATCGTGCTGCTTATATGTCCACATATGTGGACGCACCTTCTAAGTCTCTGGTTCATCAATGCAGACTTTCACCTTAGTGTGAACAAAGTCAAACTAATTAACTTTTGCTTTTTTGGTCTGTTTTATTTTAATTTTTCTCTCTAAATGACTTCTGGGTCTTTCAGGGAGAATCTGGAGAAACATGGTGTTTGTATCAGAGTTCTGGGCGACTTGAACATGCTGCCTCTGGACCTTCAGCAGCTCATTGCCAAAGCCGTGGTGACCACCAGGAATCACAATAAGTATGATTTATCTATTGCACTTCATTTAAGTGGCACGTGTAGTTAATATTTACTTTGTGACCTCTTGGATATATTTGTTTTGCAGATGTTTCCTCAATGTGTGCTTTGCCTACACGTCGAGATATGAAATCACCAATGCAGTGAGAGAAATGGCCTGGGGAGTGGAGCAGGGCCTGATCAAAGCGAGGTGAGCAAAGCAGCAGACGCCTGCGACTTGATCTTCTCAATGTGTTCATTATCACGGGGAAAGATCATCTGGAGAGCCGTAGCTTTGACATGCTGCTCATGTTTCTGTCATGCTCAGCGACGTTTCAGAGGCGCTGCTAAGCGAGTGTCTGTACAGCAATCGCTCCCCCAATCCTGATTTGCTCATCCGGACGTCAGGGGAGGTGCGCCTCAGTGACTTCCTTCTTTGGCAGGTAAGGAGTAAGCGAGATAAAAGATGGCAGCATTTTTGAAGTAAGATGGACGTTAAATATTTACAAACTTGGATACGTGTTTAGTGGCTTAGATGGTTGAGCTGTTGCCTCAGCGAGGAGGTCGCCGGTTCAAATCCCAGCCCGGGACCTTTCTGGGTGGCATTTGCATGTTCTCTCCATGCATGCGTGGGTTTTCTCCGGGTACTCCGGTTTCCTCCCACAGACCAAAAACATGCATGTTAGGCTGATTGGTAACTCTAAATTGTCCCTAGGTGTGAGTGAGAGTGAATGGTTGTTTGTCTTTCTGTGTCCCTGTGATGGACTGGAGACCTGTCCAGGGTGTCCCCCGCCTCTCGCACAGTGATAGCTGGACATGGGCACCAGTGACCCCCACAACCCAAAAAGGAAGAAGCGAGTAAAGATGGATGAATGGATAAGCTACCTGCTATAACTGACGGTACTGTTTAATCCAGCTGTTTGTTTTTTCCTTCGCGCTACTTTTCCTTTTGACTGTCCTTTTGGTTGCTATTTTGTTTAGATTTGTTTAAAAAAGATTGTATGCCTCTTTTACGACGGTCTATTGTTGTCGTTGTTACTCACTGTTGTCATCACTCTTTAAGAAATCAGGTCTCTCATGTAAATGAGTCCCCGAGGCTCAGTGGGATTAACCTGTCTAAACAAAGGTTGAATGATTGAATGAATTGGAAAGGCTGTGGCTATGTATGGAGATTTGATTGATTTATTTAGATTAAATCGGAACAATCTTAGAAATACAGCTGTTTGCACGTAACACTATTCTGAAATGCTGTATTACGTTCAGTTTAGGGTATAAGTCAGTATTTAAGGTTAAAGGCCTAATAAACTGCATTGTGCATTAATTTAACCTGAGAAAGTGTCAGTTGGAGAAACATTTTTCAGCTTTAGTTAATGAACTTTCATTGATTTTCATGTCTCCTCCATCTGCAGACATCTCACTCCTGCCTGGTGTTTCAGTCGGTTCTGTGGCCCGAGTACTCGTTCTGGAATCTGTGCGAAGCAATTCTCCAGTATCAGTTGAATCACAAATCCATCCAGGTGAGCCTCACATTGACCCTGGTCGGAGGGGTGGAGGTGCTGCAGTGGAGAGTCTTTGCACCGTGAGCTTGCTGTAAACGTAAAGAAACAAATAGTGGTCGTCTTTTGTGTGCCTTACCAAGGTCTTGATTGATGAGAATGCTGCAAACTAATTTTCAGATACCGTCTCAGTCAGTGTAGTGAGATGTTGAACGGCTCGGGTCGTTCATAAATCACAGGTGAAGCCGACCACTTCCCACTCAGACGTGAGCTTTTAGAAATGAAGTGAGCCATTAAGATAAGATAAAACTTTATTGTCCACCAAGGTGGAAATTTTCCTCCGGCACTCCAACCATAAAATAAAATGCATTCATACAATCAAAATATAAACAATTTGTGCATAGAATAAAACACTTTGCATACACCATAGATAAATGTTGTCATTTATTGCACTCTGAATAAATGACTTCTTATAGAGCCAAAAATGGCATATTGGCTCCATAAACTTTGAGTTTAAGAACTGCTGGTATTCGGTATAAGCTAATTTATTTATTTGTCAGCTTCTTTTCTTGGTGCATTCAGTGATAAAAATAAAATAATTTAAAAAATAATTTTAAAAAAGTAATATTTAATAGTTGAGTATTGGAACACTGCACAAATAATTTGTAGAGTATTAGTAACTTTGTCCACAAATAAAAAGTGTTCGTTATTTGAATTTATTCCCACTCCTGCAAAAAAAAAACAAGCACAAGTAGTTTCCACCTCCTTCATAAATGGAGTGAATGTAAAACTTTAGAGGAAATAAAAAAAATGAGCAGATGGAAATTTTCTTTGTACCACGATTTGAATAAGTGCCGTGGTTTTGTCTTGCAAATTTGCACCGAATGAAAAGTTTTCACGTCTAAATACTCGTTTCAACCATTTAAGTTAGTCGTTTGGTTACGTCTGCGCTTGTGCAGTGCACCAAACGTTTTGTGTGTTTTGCGTTACAGGAAGCCCGAGACCTCCATCGAGAGGAACAAGCCCTTGAGCAGCTTGAGGCAGATCGGGCCTGTGTGGCGGAGCACTTGCAGCATCAGGGGAACAACGGAAAGCCTCCCGACGCCCAGAAGAGACGAGAGGTGCTGCAGCGCTACATCGCCTCTCGGGAAGCACGAGTTCAGGACTTCCTACAAGCACTGAAACACAAAAGGAACTCTTTCTTTCTCGACTTATGCAGTGAAATGGTATTAAACTAGCACTAAGACTAATCTTCGGCTGAAATAATAATAAAAAAACCTCTCCAGTCCTTCCCTAAAGGGCTTCTGTGGACAAAGGAAGAGCATGCTGTCACTGTCGTGGCTCCATTTTGTTGCTACTCGTATAAACGGAGAGGGCATTTGTTACCCCTATGGGGCTGTAAAAAAATTGTTATATTAATGATTGTAGATTTACAAAGTCTAACGTAGAAAATCCTGGTCAAGATGCAGTTAAATCGTGTTCGTCACATGCATGCTGTTGATTGAACGGTTGAAATATGTGAGCAGAAAAACCCGCACTTCCTGTGTTGAGGACTTGTTTCGAACACAGAACTCGCTTCTGTTGGATTTATTTTTGTGGCTGAAAGTGTTTGTCAAGTGTGATTTTTGAAGAAAAACAACTATATTTTGACCAGATTTTTCAAATGGAATAAATTAAAAAGTGTCAATCAAATGTGTTTGTTTCTTTCAACTGTTTCAGTTTGTTGCTACTAATATTTGTTGTTGGAGGAAACATGTTTTAGCTTGGAATATTGCGTATATTTTATTACGTGATTTTATTTTTTCTTAATCTTTCGGCTCTTTCCTCTTCAGGGGTCCACGGCGAGTCATTCTCCATCTCACTCTGTCCTCACTCCAACTACCTCCATGTCCTCTCTAACTCCATCCATTTATCTCCTCTTTGTCTTCTTCCTGGCAGCTGCATTTCTAACATCCTTCTACCAGTATACCCACTGTCCCTCCTCTGGACATGTCCAAACCATCTCAGTCTGGCCTCTCACTTTATCTCCCAGTTGTTCAACCTGTTCTGTACCTTTGATGATCTCATTTCTAATCTTATCCATCCTGTCACTCTTAAGGAGAACCTCAACATCTTCATTTCCTCCACTTCCAGTTCTTTCTCCTGTCTTTTTGTCCACGTCTGTCTCCAGACCGTACAACATAGCTGGTCTCACCACTGTCTTGTAAACTTTTCTTTAGACCGTTCTTGTCACAAAACTTTTCTCCATCCACTCCATCCTGCCTGGACTCTTTCACCTCTTAACCACACTCCCCATTTTCCTGGACAGTGGACCCCAAGTTCTTGAAAGTGACCTCTGCTCCTTGTAGCCTCACTGTTGCACCGGCCTCCCTCTCATTCACACACTTGTACTCTGTCTTACTATGACTGACTTTCATTCCTCCAAGTGCATACGTCCACCTCTCCAAGTTCTCTTCCACCTGTTTCCTGTTCTCACCACAGATCACATTGTCATCTGCAAACATCATGGTCCATGGGATTCCTGCCTGACCTCATCTGTTAGTCGGTCCATTATCAAGCAAATAAGGATCTCAGAGCCAACCCTTGATACAGTCTCACCTCCACCTTGAAGCTATCCATCACTTACAGCACATGTCACCACTGTCCTGCTGTCCTCATACATGTCCTACTGTCTTCATCCATGTCCTACATACTTCTGCTGCTCCAGATGTCTTCATCACAGCTCCTCCCTCTGCACCTTGTGAAATGGTGTATGTTAAAACTAAGACTAAATCATTGAGACGTGCATTTTAAAATACTAAGTTGAAAATCAAAAGCTGACTTTTTTATTTGATGAAAAATGGAACACTAAAATATCTGGTATTATATTTAAAATAATGTAAAAGTACCCTAATTTTTTATTTAATCATTATCAAATAGTGAAAAAAGCAATGAACTATAATGAACCAAGAACATTTTATTAGTACGTTTCAAGTAAATGAGAAGGTAAGTACTGAACAAATTAAGCAACAGTTACACTAAAGCAGCTCACACTTTTGGATGTTATGTAAAAAAAAAAGTGCCAAGTTTGTGTAAAAATCTATTTTTAATTTCCAAGTTTATAAGAGAAAAAAAAAATCTATGATTACATTCCATTAGGAGAAAATGAACTGTTATGCTGTATTTTTCACATGAAACATGTACATAGAAAATTTGATGGCCTTTTAAAGTTTAATCAGAGTCAGAGTCAGAGTTTCTTTATTGTCATTCGCACCTCATGTGGTACATGTGGTGGAGCGAAATTATGTACACAAGGTCCCAGTTACATCCAACAATAAAATGTATAAGAAAAACAGTAATAACATCTAAGATATGAACTAAGAAAAACATAAACTAAATATACACTAAGCACTCATAACATAAAACATTGAACATCAGCACAAACATGAACATGAGTCTGTGAGCAGATGTGCACGCATGAACACATCAACATTGAAACAGATCAGCAGCAACATGAAACAGATCAGCAGCAACATCATATGGTTTTTCACAGTGATTATTCTAGTTAGAGATTCATGAGTCTAACAGCCTCAGGGTAGAAGCTGTTCCTCAGTCTAGTGGTTCTACACTTAATGCTCCTTAACCTCCTTCCTGAGGGGAGTGGGGCAAAAAGTGTGTGTGCTGGGTGGGTGGGGTCCTTCATGATGCAGGTGGCCCTCTTCCTGCATCTGGAGGTGTAGATGTCTGTGATGGTGGGGAGACTGATTCCAACAGATTTCTGTGCAGCCTTCACCACTCTCTGCAAAGCTTTTCTTTCTGCAGCTGTGCAGCCTCCATGCCACACATTGATGCTCGAGCACAGGATGCTCTCCACTGCACACTTTAATGCAAAATAAAGTTAAATTAACTTTTAAAAACGAGTATATTTTTAGAGCGCAATGTATTTGGCATTATAGAAAATACATATTTTAAGTACGTTATGCTCCTGGGTAATTTAGAATTATAAAAGCATTATATAAATGATAGATGCTCGAGAAATTATTACTGTATTTTAGGCCTGTATTTGTTTTATTATTTGAATTATAACCAAACACGTTCAATGCGACTAAGTAGTGAATCAAATAAATCATGTCGATAAACAACAATGCAGTGTAAGCTGTTTTTTTTTTTGTTTTTTTTCCTCGACCACCAGATGTTTGAACAAGAACCGTTAAAACAGCGCCCTCGCGCGACATTGGCCAGTTTTAAGCAACTGGCTTCCTGCCGCTTTAACAAATGGGCGGTGCCTGGAACCACGTGCTACATTCTCGTCCAATGACAACCGTCGAAATACAAAACTGGTTCGAACCGGTTTCGTTCTTATATTTCACTGTATAAACTACAAAAACATTCGTTTGTATTATACATTCGCCATTTTACGCAGCGACTGCACGGTCGACGTGTGCAATCTCTCCGGAAAAAGCTCGTTTTGAGGCTGTATTTTTTTGAGCTTTTCATTTTTTACTTCCACTTAATAACATGGGAAAAGCCAAGGTAAGACTTTTTTTTAATTTTTTACTATTTGTAAATTTACATTTTTGTCTTTGTGCAAAATTCATGCTGGTTGCTTGAGGTTAATGCTAGGCTGCGTTTATTTTTTCGGCATCAGATGAACGTCATCATGCCTATGAAACGTTCGAGCAGCAATGGCGGCGCGACAGCACAGACCTGTTCAGGCATCCCGCTTAGTCGTCGAAAATTAGCGCCTAGTTTATTCCTGGTCGCTTCAGATCGCCACTATCTGACTAAAAACGAGCGATAGCACACGAATACCGACTTTATGCGCATTTAGGCTGTAGCTGACAGGAACCGCCGTTGACATTTTGCCAAGCTGAATTTCTGTCATCGTCCTGTCTTTTTTCAGTGGGCAGTAGGCTGGGCACAATCTTGACAGGTTGCACCGAGCAAACTACTCTTTTTTAAATTATTGCAGTTATTGTTTTTTTTTTTTAAGTCCACACGACGTCACGTATATTAAAAAAACACTCTGAATTTGCAAATAATTGTGGACAGTTTTATCTATTTATTTTAAGAAGAAAAATTGAGGAAGAAGTGGGGGGAGGGGTGGTAAGCCCAGATTAATTTTCCAGTTTTGAACTAGGAACAATCTGATTTTGACATACACGAAGGCTATAAATTACAATTATTTCACAAGATAGTTTGATTTAATCAGCAATAATGTAAATATGCACACCGTAACCGTGTCTCAAGACGATGCAAATTAAATTTATAATTTGTTTTTCACCCCCCCCCCCCCCCCAAAAAAAAAAACAGCATCTAACTAAATTTATGCTTGTAATTTAAAACTACACGAGTAATTTCAGTTTTGTACGGGTTTGTAAATAATGTATTTTTGTTATGACTAATAAGAACTCGGTTTAAAAAAATTATCTGCACTAAACTCATAGAAAGGTTTGTTCAAAAGCAATGAAAACCCGCGTTTTTTGCGTTTATTGTGCTCCTGAAATTGGTGAAATCTCGTCAGTTTCCTCGCAGTTGTCTGTAGGCGCGCGCAGATACAAAACAAAGGAAGCTGTCAAGGCGCCAAAGCGCTGCCATGGCAACAGGACGGCCCAAATTTGAATTCAAATATGCGCGGGAAGTCCTTTGTGCGCTTCAAGTTCAGCAGCGATTTTTTTTTATTTTTTTTACACTGCCTTTAGATTTCCTTTGTTTGAGTTTCAGCTTCATACAACATGCAGTTTTATGCTTTTTAAATAAGTGTGTTATACTGTTCAAAGTTTTAATTTTTTTTATGTTTTTTTTTTTTTTACAGGCAACCGTCCCCCCTGAGGTTTGTGGTTTTTTAGTGATGATGTGTTTCTATTTTCCATTGTTTATTAGTAATTTTTGTAGCAGTTTCTACAGAGTAGTTTTTGGTTAGATTAAGTATTAGTTTGTTATATGTGTACTTTAGCACATTTCCATTGTAAGCCTTTTTCTCCTTCTGTAGTAGAATAGTGTGTTTTGTTTATTCTCATGTTTTTCTTTTCATTTCTTTACAGCAAAGACGAACCTCCCCACGTCTGGCACTGGTAAGATTCTAAACACTAGTTGGGTGATCTTACAAAATAATAAACATGCTGCACACCAAATGTTTCAGATATTTGCATAAACTTTATTCTGCTTATATTTTTATAAAGTTTAAAAAAAATAATAATTTTCACTTTTAATGCTTTATTACAGAAACCTAAAGCAACTTCTGTGGAGACTAAGAAAAAAGCTGCTCCAAAGGTAAGTAACTTGATGTAATTTATTTTAGTTCCTTAAGCTGTAATTAAAGCTTCTTTTTACGTATATAAATTAATTTTTCTCCAGATTATAAAACAGATGTTTATCTATATAGAATGGCACTTTGTGAAAACCTTTGTTTATTTTATAGAAGGCACCCAAAGCGAAGAAGGCCAAGCCAGCTGAGAATGGCAACACCAAGGCTGAGGTACTTGGCTTCCTTATTTTATTTTTTCTGTCTAAAAGTTCTAAAGATGTACACATTTATTTAAAAATATATATATTTCTACATATTAAATCTGGTCCAAGACTCTTTTAAGTTTCAACTTATTTATGGTCTTTGTCTGTAAAAATGTCCATTCAGTCCTGTTCTCTGTTTTCCAGGAGCCAAAGGCTGAAGCCACCGAAGCCAAGTAAATAATGGTTGATGTGCTCACTCAGTGTACTTGGTGATTGTACAGTTTTAAATAAGTATTTTTTACCAAGTTTTATATTACAAATGTCATTTATAGGTTTGTTTTTGGGCTTGCACTTGATGTAACAAGACTTTGTTTTCACATTCATATCCATTTTTCGTTCCTCGTCAGTTTTAAAGCTTTTACCGTCCATATCTTGTAGACGTGGCATTTTTAGTTTGTCTAATCTGTGTTATTTTATTTTTACTGCTGAGGAATAGACATCTTCATGTTGGATTTTGAATAATTTTAAACAGAAGGCAGCTAAAGTATAGTAAAAATAAAGAAATAAACTTACAGGAGAATAGGAAATTTGCCTTTTCTCTCCCTGTATTTTAATGTTCAACTAATAAACCAAATGCTTTAAAATCGGCATATTTCAGTGTAGGATCTAGTCAGTTAAAATGCCACAGAAATTTAGTCTTCATTAGATCAAAATTTGGTAGATCCTGGCTGTAACTGGTCATCGGTTAAAGAAATCTGTTAACTTGTTTCTGTATGGGAGGTAGGGTGGGTTGTTTTTTGTTTTCTGACATCATTGGTTATCCTAAATGTTCTTGAATAAAAATCTTCAAAAATGTTTTTTGTTGAATTTGCTGACTTGAAACCCTTATCTCCACATCTAAATGTAAGCTGAAGTTGTTGGGTCAAGCATCAGTTTTAACTAATTGTAAGTTGTAAAGCGTTTTTAAGTCGAATTGCTCCGTGCTGTTGCATCATTCCACCAGCAGAGGGCAGCATGGCTCCATCCGGAGGGATGCTCGGACTTCAAATATGGCGGCTCAGAACCACTTTGTATGTTCATGTGCTCAGTAAGGGCAAAACGGCGCATTCCTTGTAAAACGTTAAAAACTTATAACTAGCTGTCTACAGATAGAAGTGTTGGTTTTCACAGAAACCAAATAAAACGATAAAAGTTGAGTTCCTGTTTGACATGATGTTGTGGACGCATTAACTTTATTTCTGTTATACATCTAAAGGCTGCTTCTGGTTCCTCATCAAACTTCCGGGTATTTTAACCAGCGTTTCTGTAACTCGGGTCGGAACTGTGGGACCAGCAGCCGGTTTAAACCGAACCGGAAGTCATGTAGCTAGCCCCGCCCCTCCTTTCACGGCCCACGTGCTGCCTCGCGGCTTCCTTAAACCTTCAAAGAAGCCGGTCCGAACCTGAACCAGTTCAACTCAAAACCTGCTGCAGGTAAGAGAAAGCTTAACAGGTTGAAATAAAAGTTTCTGCTGTTCTGAGCTTTAACTACGTGCTCACGATCACATTTACTTTTAAAATTGGTGATTTATTTATTGCAGATTAGCAAACTAATTTAGAAACCGCTTTGAAAATGTGTTTTTGTCAAGTTTATTCAATGAGCTCTCTATAAACAAGGCTTTGACACTTAAAAGCCCATAAAAGTATGAAAATGTTTAAGTAGAAATTATCCAATCTTGTTTTGTTGTTGCATCCAGACAATGATCAAATCGTCCTAAAAGGCAGTAATTTAAATGAAGGCCTGTTTTCCCAGATGTTGCTGTTCTGGTTTTATCTTTGAGGGTCTTCTGCTCTCCTTTCATAAAGGCACAGTTTGGGGGGTCTCTGCTACTTGGATGTAAATTTAACATAATCTGACAGCAGAGACTCTTATTCCCTGTATTCATCTTCATCTCATGTTGGCTTTGAGGAGGTCCAGACTTTCCTCTTTAACTGGATTTGCTCTCGCGTGTCAGCTTTGCGAGCGACTTAACAAAACCTTGTTAAACGGTTAACCGTAATCCCACCTTAACCTGAGATTTGTCTCATTTGATTCATAATCTTCTCGTCTTCGGGTCAGATTTCACTATCGTGAAGAAAATAAACATTTTAAACCCTTTTAAGCTGCATCACCTCAGGTCTGCCGACTTGTCGTGTGCTGTGTAATCAGGATATTCTTTCTGTTTTGTCCCCTCATCTTGAAGCTTCGTTGTTCAAGTGAAGGTCTCACGTTCCCCAAAGGAGTGAGTCTCCTTGTGATGAACGGTGATGGAGTTGTCAATGACTCGTAGCTACTACCTCATCAACATCTGTTAAACTGGCTGAGCTTTGTGTGTTGGGGCCGAGTCCAAACCTAGTCAGCTCTAGACGTCCATTCAATGATAAGTTTCATTAAAAACTTCCTACAGCCCAGCTAGTCCTCTACAACCTACTAAAACTCAGGGGACACAGTTACTGAGCGCCAACATCTCAGGTGTTGGACATCTGGCAATTATCCATCCATCCATCTTCCGCTTGTTCCAGAGTCGGGTCATGGAGGCAGCAGTCTGAGCAGGGAGGCCCCAGACATCTCTCTCCACAGCCGCCTCTTCTGGGAGGCGTTCCCAGGCCTAACGAGAGCTGGATCTCTCCAGCGTGGCCCGGGTCTCGTTCTTTCAGTCACTACCAGAGTTGGTGGTCATCGGTGAGGGTAGGAACGTAACCGACGGAGAGCTTTGCCTCGCATATTTTCTCAGCTCCCTCTTCACCACAACGGACCGGCACAGAGTCCGCAATACTGCAGACGCTTCACCAATCCATCTGTCGATCTCGCGCTCCGTTCTTCCCTCACTCGTGAGCAAAGCCCCGAGACACTTGGACAACTCCGCTTGAGGCAGAAGCGGACTGAGCTGAACACGGATCATCTTTACAACCGTATCACCTCACTGACAGTAACATTTGTCATTTTAGAGTTGTTTGAGCTCTCCTGTGGGCCAGATGTGGCCCCTGGACCACCAGTTGGATTTGAGCTGTTGCTATTTAGCTAACACCCCAGACAAACGGACATGGGCCACACACTGAACACATTGTGCTTTGGAGCGTGAGTTGTGGAGGTTGAAGGGGTTTTACATTTAATTTGTGTATACCTTCCAGCGCACCGACTCTGAGTCTCAGGACAGCTGTGGTGCCGTGTCTTCAGAATACAGATGTTCAGCTTGTGATGTGGAGCATCTTCCAGGATGAATCGAATCGAGGGCGGTGATTCTGAGCTGCTTTTGCGCCGCGGCAGGTTTATCTTCAGTGGTTAGCTGTGCTGCAGATGTTGCTGCTCCATCGTTCGTGTGGCTCGCTGCAGGGGGGCGGGGCTTCACCGTGGAGCAGAAAGGGGCACGAGGGGGCGGGACCAAGGTGGGAGGATGGGATTTTATTGGCTGTGTGATAAAGAACAGCCTGTACCCAGGAAGTATTTACGGACCCGGTGTGTGTGTGTTGGGCTTTTTGACCAGGTCAAGTTCATGTAATCATAAGTCCTAATGGCAAGGACATACATTCTTGTTGTTTTTGTGTGTGTGTGGGGGGGGGGGTGTCATATTTAGGCATGTCAAGACCAAAGGAGCGTTTTCATGAAACGTTTTTCACCACGATGTAAAAAGCAACAAGGCACAGAACTCATCCCTTCAATAACTCCCCCTCTGTGAAATATGTCCGCAGGCCATGCAGACGTGAGGGGAACGCCTCGTCGCTTTCATGTTCGGCTCAACATGAATAGTTCACAGGTGAAGCACCTGGACTCGTGAAGACGACCGCGCCCTCACACTTAACTCAGCTCGGCCTCAGACCCGGCGTTCCCGGCTTCGTGTATTCAATGCACGTTTGCAAAACGGGTGAGATTATCAGGGATTAGAGCCAACGAAGGCTCCGCAGTTCGGCATCAGACACCGTTTCCTGTGTGAATGTGACGTGGGATACGAGGAGATGTTTGTGTAATGCTGGAAACGAGGCTGTATGTGTGCACAAGCCTTTTTGTGGATCGGCTGTAGCACAGTTGGCTCTGTGGCTCTGCAGGTGTAACATAATGTGCTCGCTTGTCTCTTAAATTGGACAGGAAGGGGATTTTTCACCATAAATGTGATGCAGTTTGTGTTTTGTGGCCCCACAGTGACGCGTCATCTAACCGTGGATAAAAGCAGAGCGTTTTCCTCGTACATTAGTGTTTCTCGTTTTCTGACCATTGTGTTAGTCCGATCACAAAACTCTGGCCTGCGTGCTGTTCCATTTCTTTTTACATGATTGTGCTGCTTAAACTCACCTTTTCAATTGAGCCGCTCCCTCCAAAAGGAGGAACTTTCTGTTTTTGTGTGAGCGTTTGACCAACGAATGACATTCCAGGAGTAAAATGTTACGTTCCTTCATTTTAGGGGACGAGCGTAGCGCAACTTCGTGGTTTTCATCGAAGTTTGCCTCGGGCGGCACCAGAGCTGACATGCCGTGTGGAGGCTCTGCTCCTCAGATAAACACCGACAGTTTGAAGAAACCTATTTTGGCTCGTCTCATGCTGGGTAGCTTTTTCATTAAAGGGCTGGTAAAAGCCATTAACGAGGATTAAAAGCAAGAAAACGTGTATTTTTTGCTCAAAGTATGCGTCTTTAAATGTATTTCCCGTTATTCTTCAGTTCTGTTTCAGTATTTTTAGATTTAATGCTTATTCACACCAGGAGCAGATTTTGAACAAACGAGTTCTGAGATTCTAATTCAGAAGACATTTATCCACTAACTTTGCAGATTGGTGCTCGTGGATCGTTTATTTTTTGATGCAGATCTTCGTCATTATGTTGCACATGAAAATGAATTTTGTGTCAAGTTTTTGCTGCTCGACTTCTGCCCAACGTGTTGACTGACTTCAGGTTTTACAGGACGGGTTCTAAGCGGACGTTCTTTATGGAACTCAGTGTTCAACGACACAGGAGTTCGTTGTGTAACTGCAAGCTCTAAGATTTAAAACACGTGCATGCAAAGTTTTTTTTTTTTTTTTTTTTTCCCCAGTGTGGGTTTTTTTTTGCGATGGGACTGGGGTCAGTTACATTTTTGACTCGGTTTGAGATTAAATGCAGCATCAGGCTGGTTGCATAACTTTGTCGTGCACGCTGCACCAATGAAAGCACTTTTTATTCTCGTCTTCTAATTATTTGCTTTGTGTTGCCTGAACGAACAAACGGTATCGGACAGTTCTCATTTTGGAAGGAGGAAGAAGATGTTTTTTGGGAAAGCAACCACTGAAAGTAATGCATTTAGACAGCTGTGTGCGTGTGTGTGTGTGTGTGTGTGTGTGTGTGTGTGTGTGTGTGTGTGTGCGTGTGTGTTGAAGTGGGCGTGCGTTGTAAAGGCAAGCCTGCAGATCTGGTTGGGTAAGAGGAAGGCTGTATAAAAAGGCAGAGCCTCGTTCAGTGGTTCAGGTTCTTCACAGTTTGCCGTCTGGCAGGGAGGAGGTTCAGAAGGTCCCACTGACCGGTCTGAGGGATCTGTTCTTCCCTGTGGAAGGTGAGACGTCCGGGGCCATTTTTATGATTTAAAGGAGCAACTTTTACTGCCTGAATGAACAGTTTTTTCTATATCGGGTGTTAACTCCAACCAAGCTGGCATGACGATGCTTCCCACGTTTCTCGTCCTGCTTCTGGATTTCATCCTAAATGAATCAGAAGTTTAAAAGTTTTCTGTTTTCTAAAGGAAACGTCTACGTTTTGTTCGATATTGAGCTTGGGTACTTTTGAAGATGAGCTCATTCCTGCTCCTATTTTTGCTTCTGTTACAAAATCCCAGTTTTTTTTTTTTTTTGAGCCTTTGTGTTCAGACAGGTAACCATCCCTTCATGTGGCTTCCTCTGAACCACTGGTGTCCCGTCACGTTAAGCACCATCGCCTCATCAACCTTAAAATGAGATTGTCCATGCGTCGGCCTCTGAAACTGTCTCTTTTCTTTGCCGTGTCACCTTTTTTATAGCGCAGCATTAATGCCGGATCGGTTCTGACCCAGGTCTGGCTCGGACCTGATGGCTTGCTTATGCAGCGGAGGAGACGAAGAGTTAGAAGTTCTGTTTTCTTGTTTTTGTTAAGCGCTCAAGTCCGAAAAGTTCCAACAAATATGCGATCGTTCCAGACAACAAGGAGTTTTTCTGTAGATGGTTTCATGGCTCACGGCAGTGACTCCTCGTGGTTTTGAGGTTGTTTTTGTTTTGTTTCATTCCAAACAGAACCCTCCATTTTGTCGGTTCTGCTTTACATCGGTGGCTCTTTCTGGGATGCAAGACTCGCAGAAATGCAAATGCCACTTTACATTTTTCTCTTTTTTTTTTTTTTACATTTCTTTGTGTAGGTCTTGGACCACCGCAGCACTTTTCCTCACTTTCAAACCTGCAAACATGATTATCAGACTGGGAAGACTGACTCCCGGATACTTCCGCCTCCTGCAGGTAATTACAACATATTCTAACTAAGTCCAACTATTTTTAGCAAATATCCAATGCTTCTTGTCAGAACATTGCCTCTAATCTACTTTTTGATGAATTTCTTGCTAAATATTTGTATTTTTTTATGGAATCTTCATATTCCTAACTGATTTGAGTATTTATTTTAAATCGTAAACGGTTTGTTTCAGTTATGGCTCATTGCTGGTTGAGGTGCATTAACGCAAAGAGCCTCGTGCTTCTGGGAGACCCGCTGTCTCCTTTCATCCCAGCTGGATTGGGGGTGACGCTAATCATTATGATGACATCCTGTCCAGTTCTTTTGTTCCTCCCGTCAACATAATCCTCGTCTACAGTGAGGGAGCTCGTGATGTTGATCGTGCAGAAGTTTTCACGCCGACCTGGAAACAAAGAGCAGCTTTTTGCCAGCCTGGAGAGAACATGGAAGAGACTGACAGACATCCGCTTTGACACACAATGTTCTTTTTAGTGTAGATTAATGGTGGGAGGGAGTGTAAGAAGGTAACGGTGATTTTTTTTTTTTGTTAACTTTTCAGACAGATTGATGATCTGGTGGCCAAAGTCTCTGTCTAAACCAAAATAAAAATGTTGTGATTATTTTTCATTTCAACATTAAAATCGGTTGAAATCGAATCTTAAATGTAACGGTGGGGCAGATTATCCATAACTAATGTCTCACTATTCCTTCATTAATCTCACTTTCTTCAAATTTATCTTCATTTAGTGCTTCTTTAAAGGAAGTAGAGTCTCAGATCGGTGATGTTTTAAATGGCTGACACTCTTATCGCAATGATTTGGGCTCTAAGGGGGGTCATGGAGAGCAGGGAGGGGCTGTAAAGTGAGAACCTCAAGCAGACGTGACTGAGCTGTGTTTATTTTAATATGCATCACTGTGAGGACAAAGAAAACTATTTAGCTAAATTTTTAATGGTCTCTTTTCTTTTGGTTAAATGATGGAGAGGACCGAAACTTCACAGAGCTCAGAGTTTACGGAATTTTTTATTTTATTTATTTATTTTTTTTGGAAAGATGATTTTTATTCCCCCTTGATCTGAGATTTGAGGATTAAAGAGGAACTAGTTTGCCTCTGACTTTAGGGGTGCTTAGCCCCCAGTTTTGACAATGGATCTTGGCTTGAACAACGCAGTGGCCACTGGCGTCGGAAGCATATTTAACGTGGGGGGGGGGGGGGGGGGGCGGGGGGCGGGTATGGGGTCCTCCCTCAGAATTTTTTTTAATAAAGTAGATGCCATTTCCTGCATTCTGGTGTATTTTAATGGGTTGTTAAACATCTACGTTTACCTAAATAAGTAAACACTTGATTCAATAAATATTTTAGAGTTAATGGCACAACAAGAAGTAACCTGACCAACAGCTCTCCCTGTGTGAACAGAGCAAGCTCCACTTCTCTCACGCAAACCCCCCAAGCTCCTGCAGGTAAAGGGCGTTTCACTTCGAGACAAATAGAGGTCACCGATTAGTCAGTTGCTGATGAGTGTACCAGAATGATTGACGGTGACGTTGACGATCCGATTCGTGCAAAAAATAATTTTACTGGCCCATTTAAGAGTATCATCATTCCAAATTTATTCAATATTTTGGTGATTCTAAGGTTTGAGAGCTGAGTTTCCTTACAACATCCTAATGATGGTTTCTTAATTTTTCAGGGGTGCTGAGTTAAAATTTAGGGGTGCTTGAGCACCTTTCAAAAAGAGGCTAAAATCGCCACTGCCTCTGACCTTCTTATTTTTTGTCTTTTCAGAGACAAGTTGCTGGCGAGGTGCAGGCGCAGCCACAAGACCGCGGCGTAAACCAGATAGCCATGATGCTGGCCATCTTGGGTCTGAGTTTGTCCTACTACAGTGCCAAACAGATGACGGAGAATGTCCACGTCCAGCCTGCACCCTGAGGACACTGGAACCAGCCAACGAACCAACAATAGGTGGAGGGGAGAATGAAAGTGGAGACAGCCATGTCTCTCAGGACCATAAATTTAATCTTTTTTAACTAACATACACTCAGTTTCTGGGGCTGCTCGTTACTGATTTCCATACTTTCTGTTGCTAGGACCTTAAGGGATTTGACGGGGGATTAATTCCCACCGAGAACTGGTTTTATTGACCGGTTTAGGTGGGTTGTCAAAAACCAGCACACTGCCAACTGTCTGAGCATCAGTCTTTACAGAGGTTCAGGCCTGCAGGATGCCATCAGTTCTGTGGAAACGTGTCCCGTTCGCTGCAGCTGATGGCGGATGAGCCGCTCCTCGTAACAAAGTGATGACAGACCCAGAACACGTTTTAAGGGGGGGGGGGGGGGGGGGGGGGGG